TGTTCCTAATAAAAACATAAACCATTACATAAGCATTCGTAAGTTTCATGTCACCTAAAAATTTTAATTAATCTTATTATATATCAATCATAGTATATAAATGTTTTCTAAAAATTACAAATATATAATCAATTTAATTAATATATTACATACGAATCCGCCTAATAAAAGACGGAGCGCGTGTGCACGAGTTATGTATACAGAGTGTATATTCACTTCATTTTGAACCGAAGTATAAATAACTTACTTTTTTATTTGAAATCTATGAAATAATACTTTTCGTTTTATCCTATTAAGAATTTCTCTAAAAATTATTGTGTAGGAAATACAAAAAATAGATTTTATATCTGAATCTAAACCAACCAACATACTCATTTTAAATCAAAGAGATATAAATTTAGAAACAGAAGCGTATATGAATTTATAATAGAAGAAATCTGTATATTGTGCGGAATATCTTTCAAATAAATACGTAAGATATTTAAAGATATAAATTTATAACAGAAGAAATTTGTATATTGACTATTTATATCATTTAATTTTTTGTTATTTTTAATTAATTAAAATAAATTAAATTAAAAATCCATTAACTTTAAAAAATAATTATAATTAACACACACACACACTATATATATATATATACAACACATATACATCCACACACGAAGGCTTAGAAACTATCTCCTAATTCGGTCATTATGGATCATAATACAAAATAATGAAACAAATTAGAATTAATTAATTAATTAATTAATTAATTAATGATTTTAGTATCATTTAATCGTTTAGGCAGAAAACAGTTGCAGTCGGGACCAATCAACCCCACCGAGCCACCTTTCAATCTTGATGCTCAGTATTATGTATATACAGTGAAGGAAGACTTTATATATACATATACATATATATACATATATATATATATATGTATATATATAGGATATGAGTGAAAGACTTAACTAATATTCAACTGAAATGCCGATGAAAAGAATATATTATTGACTGAAAAACGCGTCTTTTGTCGACTGTTATGTTTATTTGTATGAGAATCTTTAGACGTTTCTACGTGATAAGATGAATATTAGTTTCCATGCAATCCCACGTGCGTGTATATATACCCTCCAACATATATATACATATATATATATATATATGTTATATATATAGCGTGTTGAAAATTGACGTACATTGATAATATGTAGGACTGCAAGTCCACAACTAGTGTTCTAAACTTGTAATGTATCTTGATTATAATGTGCATATACGACTTATTCATAGAAATTTGTATTTAATTTAATCATTTAATTAAAGAATTTAAATTTGAAAAAAAAAATATGAAATTAGTCACCTTACAAGTCAATATTTACAATTTAATCTAAAACATTATTCAGAAAAATATATATATATATATATATATATATGTAAAGCTAAGCCTTAAGAACTTCAAAACAGAAAATTATATGTAAATTTATGAAACTTAAATAAAAATAAAATCATAAATTAAATTCGGAAGCGAAATAATAAAGTTTAGATTTATATTTTTTATATAATAGTTTAAAATATTCAATAGAGTTACGAGAATGTTTCTTCTAAAAGAGCAAACGGAAATCAAAGAAATAAACGAAAAGTAAATCACTAAATATCCTAGGACAACTTTCACTAATTTTTGAAAAGAGTGCAGGTGATGAACTATTTGCAATCTTCTTGTTGATCGCGATCTGAATCTTAGTCATCTCGATCTAAATAGTTAATGAATGAGTGAGATACACTACCTCAGTAAAAATATCACACTAATAACAGATACAGAAAATTAAAAATTGATAAAAATCATAAAAACAACCAATGGAACCCTTAATTTAATATAAATTCATTTACTATAAAGAAAGTCATTTATTCTATATTTGTGCAATAAATCTCTCCCAAACAATAACTCACAAAAACTCAAATTCATGCATTATTATTTATCACATAGAAGATAACAAAAAACAATTATTTTATTTATTTTTACTCGCTTACCGATACCCCTGAGGGTCCATCGGGATGTCCTCCTATTCGTGAACTAAATATCCAATTAAACAATTAACCGGTCGTCCCCATACCTCATCCGGTAATGGGCGCCAAACATTCCACTATTTCGATACTCCGTCCAGTCTGAAGGTGAATCATATCTCTTAAATCTTACTGATAAGTGACTTTTTAGCCCCATCCGACTGAAGTAACGTTCACGGTAGGGTTTTCTATGTACTAGCCCCGTCCGCCCTTTCTCGAGTACCCAATAAGTCTTTCCTATACAAATTTCCATCAGTATAACAATCAACTATACAATAACCATATCTCTTTTTATACTCACTGTTTATTTAAACAACAATATAGCTTAACACAACTAAATCACCAATAATCGGGATACCGTATACAATGAAGGGGAAACAAATAACAAAATAACCAAAAAGACCCTATAAATCATCAGTTGAGTTACGCACAATATAATAGTAAACAAATATAAGCAATATAGAAAAATAAACAGAAAATCGAAACGATTGTGAACTAACCGGTTCTGACTCTACTAGTAATCTGTAATTATTTTTAAGGTTTTCTAATTTTTCATAAAAATACATAATTATTAATTATTAAGTCTCAATTTAATGTAACGGAGAAAATGATGAGGGATCCTTACCCGAATTAGTATTTCGAGACTCTGCACTGTCTACTATATTTTCTAATGGGTACCCAATTTTCTGAATTATTCCTGCAGAATCTAAAACACTTATCACGTACCTAAAAATACTATAGGAATTCAAAATCGGCGTAAAAAATTTTTTCTGATCAATTTTAAAATTCCAGCAAGGCAGTACCGCCGTGCTCTAACAACGGCACCACCGCCCGCGGTGGTAGTTTGCCTCGGTCTAGCCATTTTCAGCTAATTTTGACCAATTTCAGCCGGCTTTA